AAAGGCCAGAAGCCCAGACGGCCCCAAATTGTTATTGCCTTAAGGCCGAGACGACCACCATTCCGGCTCCCTCCAATCCAAGCCACCAATCAAACTAGATCTGTAACAACTCAGCATGAACCAAAACGTTGGCTGATTGCTGTCAAAGAATAACAGTTAAAAACATACAAATGGCTTCTTTTGCCGGCTCTTCCTTCGAACCTGACCTACCAAAACTTCAAAAACAACTCCAAATTCGCCAAGAAAAACAACCCAAACCCAACCTGCCAAAACTTCAAAAACAAATCCAAACTCACCCAGCAATTCAAACCCCAAATTACTTCTTTACCGAACATACCTACGCACCAAGAAAGTCAACCCGAACCCGACCTACCAAAACTTCAAAAACAAATCCAAACTCACCCAGCAATTCAACCCCCGAATTATTTCTTTACCGGACCTACCCTCGAACCCGATCTACCAAAACTTCAAAACAACTCCAAATTCAGCAAGAAAGTCAACCCGAACCCGACCTACTAAAACTGCAAAAACAAATCCAAACTCACCCAGAAAATTCAACCCCCAAATTATTTCTTTACCAGACCTACCCTCGAACCCGACCTACCAAACTTCGAAAACTCCAAATTCACAAAGAAAGTCAACCCGACCCGCCAAAACTTCAACAACAACTCCAAACAACCCGCGAATGGAACTTGCCCTCATGCAAAACAGACCAGGACCTAACAGTTTCAACACCCAGAAATTCAACCCCCAAATTACTCCTTTACCGGACCTACCTGCAAACCAGACCCGGCCTACCAAAACTTAACCAAGCCCCGAATCTTGCAAAGCCGACCAGCGACCTGATCCCTCCACCCAGAAATTCAACCCCAAATTACTTCTTTACCGGACCTTCAAAAAATCACCCAGAAACCCAACCTCAACAAGGAACTTGACCTGCATCCTGCAAACCCGACCAGTGACCTGGTTCCTAAGAAAATCAACCCCCAAACTACTTCTTTACCGGGCCTACCTACGAACCAGACCTGCCAAAACGTCGGAAACAAATGTCAAATTCATCCAAACATTCAACCCACGAATGGAACTTGACCCGTGTCCTGCAAAGCCGACCAGCGACCCACAAATTCAACCCCCCAAATTACTTGTTTACCGCGCTGCTCGTCCACACAAGCTCGAAAAGAAACTGCAGGGTTGACCGCCTTACAGCCAACTTCCGCAGCGTGCGACCGTCGAGAGAGTGCGTGAAAAATCCCTAAAGGCCTTGATTGGGGGGGTGTCTCATTTTAGAAGGATCACTCACTGAGAACAAAGACACATGAATCCACAAGAGGCTGTGGGAAGTTGTCTGTGGACTGGTGGCTCAGCCTAGTCAGAAAAGCGACCGGCTTGTTCACAGCCGAATTATTGAATATTTCATGTGAACCAGCGCAGTGCTGGTCCACATGAAGCTCAAAGACAAACTGAAGAATTGACCTCCTCGCATCCAACTTCCGCAGCATGCGACCGTCAAGTGACTGCGCGCGCCTGAAGAGGCTGTGGGAAGTTGTCTGTGGACTGGTGGCTCAGCCCGCTGTGAAAAGCGACCAGCTCGTCACAGCCTGGCCACGCGAGGCGGGCAGTGGCAAGCCCAAAATCAAATTCAAGGCAATCGCTGATGAATTTCCATGCGCCCCTTTTTGTGGGAAGCAAATGCTTGGGACCAGCTTGGATTGAAACCCGAGCTGGTGATCAGACACACAGATCACACAGTAATACAAGAAGAGAACATCCAGCGCCTCTCAAAAACAATTTAACAACGATTCAACGCGCACTCAAAATGCACCATGGGGGAATGGAACCCTCATCTCCGCGTAGGCTACGCCTCTTCAATGTGCTGCGTCGTGGCGCGCAGCCAAGAAATGTGGAAAGGTCCAAACCAAAACCCCGGCAACATATTGCAGAACACAAATGCCTGCAACACTCCCACATCATTCCAACAGGCAGAACCGGTCGGACAGTCTAAGAATCTAAGCCTAAAGTTTGAAGTTGTTCTCTATTTCGGAATTTCGTTCACTGCTATTTCAATTGACGTCAATCTGGGATTAACTAAGCAAAGCCCGATCTCTTAGCTCAATTCAATAGAAGGTCCACCTTAGAACGTTCAGGAGTCACGGCCACCAGATTTTTACTGACGCTTGCAGACGACTGCCAGGGCAATGCGCAGAAACATGCCGCAGTTTGCAACACGCATCCCATGTCCTATCTGGCCCCGGCTGACGCTGGACACATACTCCAAGCCCGTACACGCATGCACTGGCTGAGGCGTTCAACCCCAGAGCAAGTTGCCAGCGTGTCGAAAAAGGTGGGGCAAGCGACCGGGCAGTTGTCCAACTCGGTCGCACGCTGGGGTCTTGAGAAAGGTCAAAGACCGCCAGCTCATCATCAAACGACCGACTAGCCTGAGCTGAGAAACCAATGCCCGTGGAATTGGCCAAGAAAACTGAAAGTGAGCCGAAATCCCAGTCGAGTGAGTGCCACCCAAATGAACATAAACCTAACCGTGCACAGCTTGCGGCGTCATCAAGGAAAAGCTGCGCAGGTCTAACTGTTCGACTTAGACAGGTTGTCAAATTGGGCCGAGCAGCAAGTACTCCCACGACGCAGTCTTGCTTGTCACGGCGGCAGCAGTACCACCCAACATCCTTGACCGGCAGTGGTTTTCCTCCTCCAGCAACTCGTCGACAGTGGCAACCAAGCGATGTTCAGCTGACAAGCAATCATGTGGAACAGATTCTTGACCGCATTGTAGACCGACTGCGCGTCTGCAACCACGCGAAACTCTCGTTTCACCGGGACCGTGCACACACGCGGCCGGCTAATGCAAGTAAAGCCGACATCTGCAGGGTGGACCGTCAGGTGGTACAGCACGAACTCACATTCAGATCTGCGTAGCGCAGAAACCGGAAAAAAAGAAAGAAACGTTGCGCAAACATTGGACTGGGACGAATCACATACTGGATCCATTGAACATTGAACCATGTCACTATTTGTACGGCACGGGAAAACACTCCAAGTTGCGGTCATATGATCCCAAACTGCAAACCAGCAGCTCTCGCGCACGGCGACCGGTGGGTAAGGAGCAGCATCAAGGCTGCCCACATGAGCAGCAAATGCACCCGACTGTCGTCTGAGCCCAAGCGCTTGCCAGCTTTTGAACTGACGGCACAGGAAGTGAGTCTTGCATGCCGTTGACAGCACGACGAATGGACTGCCACTGATCGGCTACAGGCTGACCGGCAAGCGTGTCAACATCCAAGCAAGACTGGAAATGCGTCCACAATGTTCGAAAACACATGCCCTGCTTGACTGGCCAACAGTCGCTGGCAATTTCGGTTGACTTCGCAGCAAGACGCAGTTGAGACCGGCGCCACTCTCCGTCCCGGTCAACCCTGCGCTCGCAGGCATTTGGCTGCATAGGTGGAATGCCTTGACCAAGTTCCGCGCTGCCTGCTCTGCGCAACTGTGCGCTGAAGTCGACCGGCGCCGACAGGAGGCTACCTGAATGGTTTACGCAACAATGCGCCAGCTGGAAGCACACAAATGCAGGAGCGTGCAGCGCAATCACGTGCAATGGTTCATCGACAAATCTTTACTAAGTTACCAAGTTTGGTACTGAAAAATGCCTGGCTTCCTTATTAACACATTTGTTTATGTCAGTTGGTGTGTCAGTTGGTAATGTCAGTTGGAGCCGACGCCGCGGCCGGCGGGCCTGCCTTGGCTTTCGCCGGAGCCGGCGCCGCGGCCGGCGGGCCTGCCGGGGCTTTCGCCGGAGCCGACCCAACGCCCGCATCAGATGCGGCAACAGCCTCAGGTCAAGTCAATGCGTCAGGTTGTGAAAGGCGTTTGCTAAACTTTTGCCAGAGCAGCAGATGGAGGCGACACCCTTCCCACCGGCAGCGGGCCAGCAGCAGATCCAACACTTGGAGCGGTGCCATCCGCAGGCCCCGCCTTAGATAGGCAGCTAAATCTAGTTGCAGAACTAGCTGCCGCATTTGGCTCGTAAAAGGCTTCAGGGTCCGCCTGACATATTCATGCCCGTTTGCAGGAAGTAACCCACCCACAAATCACATTGCGTCAGGCAAAGCAATTTCATTCAACACTCATTCGCTCAGGGGTGGTGACTAGGCCTTTAGCGCCATGGAGTGCAAACTGACGCTGACGATCAAGAAGGAGTTTGCGACCAAGATCTACCATGGCCAAAAGCAAATAGAAGGCAGACCGGCTTCGAAGACTATGGAGATGATTGCAGTTCCATTCATACTCCCAAGAACGTCTCTTGTGCGAAGTTGTGGGCAAAACCAACCACCCAAATGTCTTGGCGATGCTGGAGGCTTATGGGGTTGACTCGCTCCTGCCCGGCCTGGACCTGAATGATGCCTGTGTGTTTCAGCTGAAAGTCAATTTGTCATAGACGTGTTGTTCCTGGCATGGTGCAAAATTCTTGGCAACACCAATTTGCAGCTAAACATAGAAACCCGTGTGTAGACTGATCTGGTTCTGCGACATCCATCATGATGAACCCATGAGCCCTGGCAGGCGTAGGCCATGAGTTGAAGTTTGTGTTAGCGTCATTGTGGCAAAACAGGGGGCCCATGTCTAGATTGAGCACCGATTAACCGCATGATGTTTTTTGCTTGGTAGCCTGGAATCTGAAAAGGAAAAAGGGGCCAAAATAATACCATTGTTGAACCCCCTTTTGAACATGGTCTGCAGTAACATCAAGCTTCATCCTAAGCTTGTTCCAAGTGGAGTCACCCGGGGCGCTTTATACAAAGCGCCTTTCCGCTGACGTTCTTGATAAAGGCCCTTTGTGATCACGTGATCTTTGTTGACGCTTGGACCTTTTCTGCTGAGTCTTGGGCAGCTTGTTGGCGAAACATGGGAGACTTTGGCTTCAGATTCCCGATGCTACAGTTACTGTGATTTTGTGTGTTGTGGCTGAGGGTCACAGCTCCTAATGCCAAGGCCACCTACCGTGCGCTGGGGAACGCGTACACTG